TCACATTGCCTTGCTTTACCAAAAGTTGTTCTCAACCAGGGTGGACTGCAGTTTCGACCTCGTATTGGTCTTATCAACAAAAACATCATTAAGGTGAATATATCTCATATTACTGATTTACTGGCAGCCTCGAAACAATACTTAAATGCGAAAAATAAAGTAACATAGTCGATTGCTACAGCAAATATACGTTTGCTTCACCGGCAATCCCACCAAAGAATATATGGCAAAAGGCCGGGCCTTCCTTGAAATTCACATCTGCCCTGTGACTCGAGGGCACTCGTGGCTATGTGGTTGAGTGGTTAGTGTGTAAAACTCCCATTCTATACTGTCACGGTTCGACCTCCGTTGGAAATGTTGATAAGAGCGATGCGAGGTCGAAACTGCAGTCCACTGGTGCCTGGATGAGAACAACTTTTGGAAGCGTCAGTTCTAATCATAGCATTGTGGAAAAATTCTACTACCAGTACTTCATCACCTTAAACGAAATTAGGTGAATACATCTTATATTAGGTTATTTCTGATAATTATAAAAATACACTTTCGCTGCTGTTATCCCCTTGGGTCAAATGAAGTTATGATTTAAAGTTTTTATGGAAAACGTCAAGTACTTTATTTTGCTTCCTTATACTCCTCTATTTCATTATTGCATTTTCACTGTCAGATTAAGAGCTATCCTAGCTAGCAAGGCGATGGAAAATTTTATGTGGAGAACTAAAATAAGGGTTAAATTTATAATAAATGGTTGAATTCAATAAAACATTTTTATTAATATTTTCACAGCTCAGATGTATTTCGCTTAAGTCCTACAGAGTTTTCCCTTCCAATTTACGTTAGTGTAAATATGATTAACTTGGTATATAATTATTTGGGCCAATATGTGTGTAAAAGACCTCTTACCTTCTCCTTCATGCTCTCCACCTTTTCCTTCAGTAAAGGAACCACAGCGTTTGGAGGAAGACCCTTTTCTAGCTGAGCTACAGATTTAACGTATTTAGCTGTGACTCCTGCGGCCTCTTCAGGATCCAACTTTAGGAACTCCGTTGACAGCCAAGTTTGGTAGATCTTGTCCCATTCGTCCAAGGAATCCCAGAGCAGCTGCTTTAATTTCATCTCAGCCACCGTCTCTTCGAGCTCCTCAAACCTGGATTGCTCCAGCTGGAGGCAATAAAACAGACGGGATATGGAAAGAGCATACATTTAAATCACAAATAAGTCACGTAAGGACGAAGAATTTTCGTAGAATTTCTTTTACAGAGCATGTAGCGGTAAAAGATAGTATCTAGACATGAGTCTAACTAGAACGTGGCCATCAAGCTTTGGATTAAAATGGCTCACAGTGAGCAAAGTATGGGATACTAATTATCACTTATTCCAAAAAGTCGAGCTATACTTTTTGTGCCTACCTAATTAATTGAAAATGAAAAAAACCCTACCAAAGATATGATGCTATGGGTCTAAAAATGATGTCATTAACCTAGACAAATAGATGTCAACTTGGCAAAATGAGAAAATGTGAAGTTGCAACAAGTGAAATTATATGATATCCTATCACGCCATTCCACTGATAATAAGTTGATACAAACTTAACGAATCTATATGAGGGACCCATACTTGCAACAGTTGGCCTGTCTTTGTCTAATATTATAAAGCAACCGATTTATAAGAAGCAAGATGCTTAATGAAATGAAAAAGCTAAAAATTTCATCAGATTGTTATGCCTTGGTCCTTTTCCAAACACCTGAAAAGTGGCTATGCATATTCTGTGGGATTGAATAATGCTTTAGTCTACCGCCTATTAACTTTTCATTATGACCTGCATTCTGTCGTTCTATGAGTAGAACTGACCCAAGATGTGAACATTCATGACCATTATTTACTAAAATACTAATGACCTTTTATAACATTTATTAAAGTCACTTTTTACTAGTTTTAGTTTAAAAAAGGTAGTCATGGCTGCATAAGTAGGCTAGCAACGAAATTTGTTTTTTTTTGCTTTGGGGGAAAATATAAACAGGAAGAAGATAAAAAGTTTTCAATGAAATTGTAGGGGGAGATGAAACAGACATCCGAGTAAAACGAAGTGTTAACGATTTTGGCTTAAAGTAAGCTCGAAAAAATATAACTAGAATAAAATTTAAAAGAACCATAAAGTTGATATAAATAACGGAAAAACTAACTTTAGCAACATTTGTGAGAAATGATAACATCTTGAAGCACAAAGGCCACTGATCAGTTTTTAAAGTTTTACCTTGAGGAGATTGGGATAGCTTCTAGCCAAGAAGTCCTAAAATG